GGTTTTGACCGTGTTTTCTGTGGTTTTTGTCAGGATTTGGAAAACACTAAGAAAAAGGAGAGTTAGGTTGGTAGAAGACATGAAGGGTTATTAGTTAGACATATATGAGAACCAGAAATAGGAACAGCAAGGGCAGAAGAGAATCTAAATTAGGATGATCCAGAGTGGATGTGCGAGTTCAACTAGTCTTCGAACTTACGACTGTTGATTACTATGATGATAAAGAAAAATATAAAATTTACCAAAAAGAAGAGTTAGATACCTACCAATTTCAGTAGGCATCGGAAAATGGAATGTTTAGGAACCGTTGCTTTTTTTTTTAACTTTAGCCATTGTAATGTTCATTAATACTTCTAATTAGTAAATAATGAATGCAGTGATCAACCATTCAACGTCTAAAATGGAACTGCAATTTTTTTAGCCTTGTAATAGCTAACCTTGGAATAGATTCATTTATTTATTTTTAGTGTTAATAACGGTTGCTAAATTAAATAATTTACCAGGTAGGATAATAATCGTATAAGCATTTACAAGTCTTAAAAGTTCAACCCAAATTTGGATTTAGCAAAAGTAAAGCATGTACCCATGTAAAAAAAATACGACCAACAACTTGCGATAAATGAGTCTTCTCATACGTTTGTGTATCTATTAGATTTTCTTGATTAGGAATTGGTTGCAATGTCGTCAATGAAAAGATAAACTATTTTTTATTAGTATCAAATTTATGATCTTTTTACTACTGTAAATGAAATTTTGGCCGGTCTAGCTGCATTTACCAATCTTCATTCGCATCGTAAAACTACGACGATCTTGCAGGAATTAAACAATTTAAACCCTCTTCTTCCTTAAAATAAATTAGCTAATAGTCTAAAATGCATAAATATATGTTCTCTATATTTTCTTCTTCTGCGACCACATAAAACAATTTTTTCTATCCCTTGCGAACAGTATTTTTTTTCTGAATCAAAGGTACCTTATGTTCTTTGCTGTATCCCTGACAATGTGTATACAAATTTTCATAAGGATCCCTTGAGTATTTAAGGAGTGAAATGGTAACAAACAAATAAACAAACAAACTGACATTCCCATTTGTAATATTAGTTAAGATTTCAAAATTTCATACATTGTAGGGAATACTATTTGAAATTGTCAGTTATGAAGAACTCCAAAGAGTTATTTTCTTGATTTTAAGTCATATACACATATAATACTAAAAGTAATATATGCATATATATATATTCCCTTCTCCTTACAGGATTTATGAGTAACCAAGAAATATTGAAAAATGCTCTGAGGAGATTTATAATGAACACGCGAAATTGATGATTGATTGCCAGTGTTAGCAATAAAGTCACTAAAAATGATTAAATACTATTCTTATTGTGTTATTGTACAAAAACCAAAGGCAGACTGGAACTCTATCGAAAAAGTAACTAAACTTATTTCCTTAATTTCCGTTTCGGTATTCGCTTTTCCGTTTCGGGAATACTTACAATTAAACGCTGCATGCTTCACTTTCGCTTGTTGTGATATCTCGCAATAACTGTTTTCACTTCGAATTCACTATTCAAACTGCAGTTAATGGCCTGCACGATCGCTTTTATATGAAAAATAATTGAACTAGAAACAGCGACTTTTTAAACACCGTTCCACCTTTCTTCAGGCAAAATTCACCAGAGTTGCAGCAGAAACCACGTCTACAGAACGGCGATTTCCTCTGCTAATAGACGTTGACTTTTCGAAATTAACCGCTCAAGACATGCATGAACGAATTTTTAGAGCTCTTTCTTGTTATTTCCATACACCAAAACATTGTATTCTTTTGTTAAATATCATGTATAGTAAGAAATATTGCAATCTTTCTGTACATATCTAACGAAATTGTAATAATACAAACAATTTTTAGTAGTATTTGTACTGGTAAAAGTGTTTGTGGATCATATAAACAAGTATTACTGCAATAAGAACGTAAAAACTCAAATGTAGGTTTCTACGTATATACCACTTTTTAGCAAAAAACCACGCAGTAATCCGTATAAATTCGGTCTCATTATACAGGTAATAAAAACAGCATTGTATGAAAATAAATAAAATTAAAACAAAAATACTGCGAATATAAACATAGGAGATGAAAATTTAGAAGAAGTGACTGATTTTAGATATCGAGGAAGTCAGATAAGTCAGGACGGAAGGAGTAATTGGGATATAAAGCAGAAGATAGCTCAGGGTCGTGTCGCCTTTAATAAAAAGAAGTCACTTCTATGCTCGCGAACGGTNATAATTCGAAGTGGTCTGTATTCTGTCGAAACTGCCAGACGCGGATCGCGATTTCGATCTTTTTGGATCTCATCAGCGCGTCGCAGGCAGCTCCGACAGAACACAGACCAAGCTTTACCTGCTGTCTTAACAGCGCGTTTTAGAAAATACCACAAATGGCGCGGTAACCTTGTTGGAGCATACGTAATCCTAAAATGTAGCATCGTACTACAGATGACGTTTACCGCGCCATTTGAACTATAGTATTTTCTATTATTATTTTAGTCAAAAACATTATTTTTTCAGGGGTCATCCGAGCGGTCGTGTTTTAAGAGGATGTTTTTGGAATGACACCTAGCATCTGTCAAAGGTAGGTTAAGTTAGGTTAGGCAGTTGCATTCCCAGGTTAGGTTTGCTTGATTAGTATCAATTATGTATTGTGATCGTTCATGGCACTTATTCTATGTTTAAATAATGCTGACTCGGACTATTTACTACCTGTATTGTAAACTTATTACTCACGACGTTTCGGTTGCTCTAAAAATCTACAATCGTTATCAAATGACAGGACATTAGTCTCATCAAAATCTTTTATTAAAAAAAAACCTTTCCATTACAAATTAGGAAAAAGTTAAATGAATGCTTCAAGGAAAACTTTGTCTGAATAATGTAAAATGTAAAAAGGGTAAACTAATAAAAATCCTTTTTGGGTATCACTTCGCTTTTAAGAAGTCCTCTTAAATTAAAGTATTTTAAATAAAAAAGATTCAATGCAAATCATTTGGCCTTTTTGAAGACATAAAACGCCTTCTTCCTTAAAGCAATTTGTATGCCTCGTGCATTTTTAAAAGACTTTTCAAAACACCGAAACTGATTTAAAAACAAATAAGAGAATAAAAGAGAGTTCCATCGATTTAGTATAAAGCGTAGATATTTTTAGAAAAACAATATAGGTATATCTTACTTTAAACAATAAATCTCTTACAGTCATGCTCATTTGAGTACAGCGAGACCAAGATCAAGACTATTCCATCATTTGTATTATTCTTGGTATTGCTTATTCGGCGTTAATCTTGGTGTTGCTCAAATACTTGCCATCACAATAATTATCTTAAATGCTGAAATATTCTGTCATACATGCGAGCTTGTCATGACTTTCAAAGAAAATAGTGTCGATAGTTCCTTAAATTGACCTTTTAGAAAACAAAATAGTACAAGGTACCTACACGAAAGAAGTAAAAATTATCGAAAAAAAAAATATTTTGACTCTATATCTCAACCAGGGACAAAGAGCACTTTCGCCAAGGACATTCTTGCCCTTTATCGAAACAGTGGTAAAGTTTCTTGTTTTTATATATATTTTGGTGGTAAAATCTAGTCAAGTAAACTGAAAATTTCAAATACTAAAAATTTTTTGTTCCACGAAAAGAATATTTAAGGTTGCTTCAAAGAGTACAACCCATAAATCCATTGGAAGGGATAATTTTTCGTTTAGTCTTGCGTATTTGTTCTTGGTCTTGGTTTTAATCTCGTTCATATTCGTAGGATCTTGGTTTTAGTCTTCGTCTTGTTCGTTTGGTCTTAGTCTTGATTTTGCTAGTATAAAGACATTTTCGCAACCCAAACCACGACTGCAAGACCAAAAGGAATTTTGCTCCTAGTACCCAGGTATTTCGCAAAAAAATTCTAGAGACAACGTAAAACAATTAAAGTTGATCATCGTGAGCAAAAAGATCAAATAAAACTATGTGGAATTGAACTAAAGAAAACAGTGAAATTTTACAGTCTGTTTCTAACTGAAAATAACTCCTTGAGTGTCGAGATCCATTTTAGAATTCTTAATGTTGTGGGTGCAATTTTGAGTTGTTGATCTTTTACTTACAATTAATTCCACGGGTACCTTTGAACCAGAATTCAAAATTTCACTTATTAATCGTTAATCATAGTAATTTTTATTTTGCGTATGTGCAACATTTACAGGAAAGTTATTATTTACTGGATACAATTCTCCCATTGCTACACATTGTCTAATCAAACTTAATAAACAATATTTAATCATAATGAACCTTAAAATTGAATACATTCTAGATTTATTGATAAAGGTTTAAATGCCTAGTAATGTTACCTTAGGTCCTCGAAGTTGCTCAAAATATAGACACCTACTAATTACTCATTATTAGATCAGCAGTTTTTATTCCAAACATAACATGCGTACAATGGGTTTTATTTCATGTTTCTTCTGTTTGTATGTTCGCCAAAGCGTTTTCTAACAACTTGACCAGTATGTCCAACGTATAACTTTGATCTTTCTGTGATGTTTTGTACTTGTACTGATTGAAATTAAAAATGCATTGCAATTGGCGAAAATTAAAGAAGAAAAGTTGTAAAATGTTCTTATTTAAAATGGTCGCATTTAATAAATTAATTATCCAGGTAGCATTATAAGAACATTAACAAGAAATAAACGGTCCTTTTTCTTTTCTTTTTATTATAGAGTAAATAAATTGTAACTACTAGATCGAAGGTGAAACGTTTTTTTAATAAGTAAGATTTATATTTATCCAATAACTGAAATATTTCACGAACTGAAACATATTTTACTCTCCAATTTCATTACCTTGTTCCAGAACTTCCTTAACGAAATAAAAAACCTGACAAAGAGGAAGACAACTTATAATTCTTTTCTTTATTCTTTTTTAATAAATCTGTTTTTTCCAACTTTATACATTAACTTCTCATCCTACCTCAAATTCGGTGATTGAACTTCCGCCGCTTTTTATTCTTCTTCTTCCCCCTTGAAAAACGAAAACCGAGTTCAAAACTTTCACCTTTCGTATTTAATAGATTGCCCGCTTATCGCGTAAGAACATGGAGATATTCCGATATTTTCGTTGCTCCAACGACAACTGAAGCTGCAAACAGCCGACTGGATTTCGCGGAGCGCGCTTTGAACACGCCAGATCTGACGGCGGCGCAACCAATATAATTTTCTGGATTCTGGACCGGGATGCTGCTCGCTGCCACGTAGACACGCAAAAATAACATAACGATAACACAATGCCAAGCACCCCCTCAAACGCATCCCGCTCCATGATTACTGGTTTTCAGTAGAAAGTGAAGTTAAGATATTGAGATATTTAACCATGTTATCAAAACAGCGTCCATTATTACAGTCTATAATCTACATTATCGGTAGATACCAATTGGAAACAAATGTTTTCTGTACCATACCCACATCAAATTGAAGATATTGGCATAAGTTCCTTCGGTTATGCACTAGTTACTTGAACATTTTCAAACGCGTGAAAGAGCTAAGGAAACGACAATGTGCAGGTGATTTCTTGTACTGTTGAGGTATGTACCTAGCACACATTTCCTTTGAGTGAAACCAGTTATTCCGAGGATTTCCCCGTTTGTAACTGATGCTAAAGAAATTTGTAGTATGGAGGCTGAAAACTGTGTGGCAGAACGCACGGAGTAACTTTGGTTGCAGCGTTTTCAATTGGAAGAATTGGGCCTTCAAGATAAACCCCATGCTGGAACACCTATATCAACGTATATCGAATCTTTATATCAAGCTGTAGAAGCAAGACCTAACAAAAGTACTCGTGAAATACCTGGAAAACTTAACATATCACAATCCAGCATCGGTTTTGCTGAACAGGTTCAATGGCGGATTGATGCGTCCAGACATTTGCTGGAGAATCCACTTGACGATCATTTCTTTAAAAGAATTCTGATGAAAATTGGATGTATTTTACAAATTCAGATATGAAAAAGCAATAGTTATTTCATGAATCTTCTCATAGTCCAAGTTTGACTAAGAAAATAGTAGAACTGGCTCAGGATAGGAATGAGATGAGGTTCGTGTCAAACCAGTTTTAGGACCAAGAACTGACGATTGACGATCCTATGGTAGATACGACCAAAATTGGCTTAGTGCACAATAAATTATTTGTGAGAATGGACGTATCTTCCTTATTATCTCTACACAGCCAGTAATGCTGGTAGGCGAGCAGTCTCTCCGGACTACGCCGGAAGGTAGGGCGGAAGGCCCTCTTCAGCCTGCTTTCAGGAATCGTGGGAATGGGTGGGTGGTGGTTCGGGTGAGAAGGTTGAGACGGACGAAATGAAGACAGAAGAGAATGAATGATTATCTGTGGAATATTATTGCCCCAGCATTTACCTAAGTGGTCCAAGAAAACCACAGAAAAACTTGGACCAAGGCAGAGACGGACCGGGAATCGAACCGGCGTCCTCCCGAATGCTAAGCAATGGCCTAATCCTCTAGGACATGTCGTTCGGTGCAAGTAGATATCCATCAACATAAATGGACCTTGTTGAGCATATTGAATTCCACTAAATGTGAATTGTACCACAGGTGGCGTTCACCACGCCGTTTGCAATAATTCATTCATCCCCCAATATTTATAAAAACATTCGTTAAGGAACACATTTCTTTTATTAAATAATACAAACATGAAAGATGAATAAATCTTTAAGTAACAATTCAAAGAGAACAACAACAAAAAGGGTAACAATTGTCAAAAAGTTAATATCCAAGTCTCTTTATTCGGTATTCTGGTATTTGAAGGGTGAAATAGATCGGAACCGAGTTCATAACTATAAACGAAACTATTCCTACAATAACTTTTGCGGGCCATGAAAATCGCACTGATGGTTCAGCAAAAATTCTGTTTACATGTTGGTAACTAACATGTCTCATAAACATCTGACCATTTGGTATCGTCCTTCTGGCCGTTGTAAGAATAGTATTCTGCAAGATGAAAATGAATAATATTTCAGAAATATATATTGCCACTTATTGTAATTTTCCAATCGGGAAATTTTCAATTTAAAAATCAATAGTAACAACTATTAGGCAAAAATCAATTTGGGTTTAGAAGAAATGGAGGTGTGCGGAGATCTATTCCAGCTTTACTGATAATAATAGAGAAGACGATAGAAAAAGGAAAGAACCGGTACATAGGATTCGAGGATTAGAAATAATAGGAAAACAGAGGACTCTACAGAAGTAAATAAGAAATAGGCAAGATAGGTTGGTAGGACGCCTCCTCAAACATGAAGGACTAGTCAGAGACATTAGAGGCAAAAACAGGAGTAGAGTTAGAAATAGTTATAAGTAGACAGGGGCGGACTAGTCATAAGGGAGTTTGGGAGAGTTCCCCCTGGATCCCCCCCCCACGGTACAGGGTCCATGGACGCTTAAACGTAAGCTTTTTAACCCATTAACCCCTGGAGATTCTTTAGATAACCAAAAATCGGTTGTCTGTAAAGTCGGTTTACTGACGATAGTTGAACGTCACAACGTCATAAGAAAATACTGATGGAACGATTTCATTTTTNCTCAATGTGGAAAATTTCACCCACTTTAATTACCTATGGATAATACTCTTCTTAATTTGCCTGCTGTCTCAAATTTTATAACACGATAAAATTTAAAATGGTTTAAGTTACTAATATTCATTTTAAAAAGGGACAAGTGATTATTATTAAATTATTTTTTATTCAACTTAATTATTAATAATTTTCGTTATTTTACTGAGATCTACCAGTACTGCTATATGTAGGTACCGCTTAGGCAATAGAAGCCCATGATAACTATTTTAAAAATAACCCGAGCGCCTTAGTACTATTTGCTCCGATCATAGATGTCGTAGCGGTGTACTTACGCTACAAGATGAATTACCTATTGCTGTAAATTTGAGATTGTGTTATTGTATCAACGAAATTGTCTCATGAATAACAAAAAAGTCGTACAACAGTGATAAATACCTCCTAGTTGTGTATGTTTATATCACCTACCTACAATGTACCCAATTTTAAATATATTTCTGATTTTACAAAATGCTGTCACAAACTGATACCTAGGCACTCATCATACAAAAAGTGTAGGTCGAAATTCTCGGTGAATAAGCAATTTTCGAGCAATCCTCCCCGATTTTGATTCAATTTTTCTCGCTCGATTTCTTTCTATTAAAAACTTTTACCAAATTTACAAAAAGTATTCGAGGTAGCCGTGATATTCTCCGAATTCTTTGCATTAACGAGCTCGTTAATTATGATTATCAGATTAAATTGAGAAGGAAAAAACGTCAGCAAGTCGTTATCTTCGTTAAACAGAAACTAAAAAGTTAAAAAATCGGCGTCAGAAGAGGCAAAAGAACTCGACTGCCCACGTGTAGCAGGTAGGTAAGGCGATACGTCGAAATCAGCTTTTATTTTACAATTTCTGCAAACTAATTAAACGCTTGCCATCTTTTGTTTAAGTGGTTTTGTTAGCTCAAAAGTTACTTTTATTAGTAACCAGGCAGTGAACGGACTTCTGACATTAAAGTTACTCAACTAATTGGGTTCCTAGCTAATTATTCGTTGAGTTAAATATGTACCTATACAGGGTGCCCCAATTAATAGCAGGCAAGGGTTTTAACCAGATGCAATAGGGAATCGTATGGTAAGTAAAGCAGCGTGATTAAAAGAATTTATAAGAAAACCAGACGGAGTTTCAATCTGGGCGTGAATTTGCAACTTATATTTGCAACTACGATAACAATTAAGCAACTACATCGATTAAAAATGTAAAAATGTAGTATACAGTCCTATTGAAAGTACCACACCTCGACATAGTATTAAGAACACAAAATACAACAGATATACTCGTACAACACTGCAGCTGATGGAATGCAGCGTTGCAATGTCGTTTATCCCTCCAGGACCGGACTGGCCTTTGACTGTACGATTTTCTCGAAAACGGTGGGCTTTCAGACTACTAAACATTTACTTAATTTTCTTGTTTTATGGTGTCCCATCGCCTCCTGCAAGCTTGCCACTTATTTCCAGGCTTAGGATTGACAACCTTGTGATGATGAGGTACATTTTAATATTCATAAAGGGCTATTAACCAAGGAGGTGGTTATAAAAATTAGCATTACAAACTGAATCGTACGTAGATATTCAGAACATCACGCTGTATAATGAATTACTAGCTTAATGAATGTCATCTGCAGAGTATTACTGCATTTTGTGGAATTCAAAAATGTTCTACAAGGTTCATAATGATATTAACTTATCGAACTGAACCTATAGTGTAACTACCCCTAGATGGTAGACACATAACCAAACAGAGCCGCAAAGTACATACCTATTTATGCTGGTATTGGGTCTCGTCTGCACGTCGTAGACATTTCCAGCACGCTGTGGAAGACGATAACAAAAAAAAAAGAAATAGAATTATACGACACCTTCTAAGACGTGAAAGGCTAGCTAGTGACTTATGAGGACCAAAGACAGACAGGGAACGACCTTGATTAGATTACTGTTTGGAAATATCAGTAGTTAAGAATGTGACATGTTTTTCGGGATATGTACAAATGGGCGCATTTTTAATCTACCTGTTCATTCATTCAATCAAAATGGGAAGAATTGGAAATGCTAATAATGACCCCATAGTAAAGATGATCTTTGTAAAATGCTTTGAGTCGAACTCGCACATAAAAAATCGTCAACTTCTCTTTAAATTTAAATTTTGCGTTTCAGTATGTCTTATTAAACTAATAAAAATACACTGTAATTTTATGTGAGATACTAAGTCTAGATAAATCACAGAAAGTTTAACAACCATTCAAGTTATGCAGTTTAATTAATTACAAAACTCAAGATACCGAATCGCTTTTAGAAACCTTCCTTCCACAGTTCGAATATCTGTTATCATTTTCTTGGCTATTGTTTTAGTTACAATCTGAAACATCTCTTTGTGCTGCTTTTATTCTTCCGTCCAATAACAAGAGACTGCCGTGAGCTTGTAACTTCGTTCATTCTGAACGTTTCTAATTAAAATTAACGATTCCATGGTTCGGAAAATTCAAAAACCAGTTTACGAATTATCATTTGGAATAAAAATGAAATACCATCAGTATAACACAGATATCAAACGAAAGCCACCCAAATATAACACCCGAATCAAGGATTTCGTACCATAGAAAAGTATCTGTGTATATATCTATTAAAATGTCTCATATTGTGAGGCTGGGTTATGTTAGGCTAGGTTAGGTTAGGTTGAAATGGACCAATTATTTTATAGCAGGAAAATGAAACGTTATTCACCCAGGTACCAATAAATCGTTCGGTAGTTTAAAGGTGAATTACTGAAATAAGTTGATGATCTAAATAGCTGTGCGAAGGGGGTAGGTAATTTTAGACTGCGGCAAATTAGCTGGCGGGGTAGTGACCCCCTCTCCTTAAAGTTTATTAAGTATTTAACCGTTTATTGTATGAAATGATATCATTTGTTATATTTTCGTATTTAAGCCAAACAACTATCTACATTCTCATTTTTTTTGTAATTGTATGTACCTATCTAACAAACGTACAAATGGATAGTATTGTCACATCAATATAGGGTTCCATTTGGATCTTTTGGATTTGGAATGAGTAAGGAATTTAGGGGATTAATCCCTTAAACCCCTAATACATTTCTTATGGCACTTCNAGTAGGAGAGAGACAGATGTCGAACGCTGCCGAACGCGGAGGCCGATTGTGCCTCTTTGTCGCTCGTTCCGCGCTCTCGCTTGCACATCAAGCCTTAAATGGAACGCCTCAGAGCGAGGTAACACCGCATGAGTCATGTTTTTTCGTGCGTGCAGCCGGCTCCATCGAATTATAAGACGTCACGTCAAAAATTAAGTAATTATAGACAGAAGCAAAGTTTTCGATACCAATAAATGATACCAACAGAAAATCGTTGTGTTTAGTTAATACATAAACAAAAAAACAGCGTTGAGCTCTTCTTTTTAGACTTCTTTTTTCTTCTTTGACTCCTAGAATTCCCGGGCCTTTTCATAGTCCCAGTCCGCTCCTGATAAACCATGTGGGATGTCCTAGTTTTAGGGAAATACAAAGATTAGCTGAGGATAGGACAGAGTGGAGACGCGTATCCAACCAGTCTTAGGAATGACGACCTTAAGATGTGTGAAAATATTAGAAGCTTTCGAAATGTGGTGTTAGAAATGAAGAGATATTAGAAAGAGTAAGAGAACAGAGGACTCTAGAGAAGTCAATAAAAAGTAGGCAAGATAGGTTGGTAGACTACCTTCTCAGGCATGAAGGTCTAGTCAGAGACATAGTAGAGGCAAAAACAAAAGTTAGGAAGGGTAGAGGTAGACGTAGATTAGGTGACTGTTCGCAGATAGTTAAGGATATGGGTTATTCTAGTTTTAGGGAAATGCGAAGATTAACGCAGAATAGAAAAGAGTGGAGGTGCGTTTCCAACCAGTCTTAGGACTGACGACCTTCTAATGATGAATATGAACATGTGTGGACTAGAGATGAAAAATCGAATATTGGAATGGAAACTGACGAAACCTAATCTACGATATTTACCTGATTTGCCTTCGCAGCGCTGTCCAATATCCTAGCAAATTTGCTAACATCTTGCATCCTTTTTACCGCTTGCATCTAATAATTACACAAAATTAATTGATTGATTAAGTGTATTATTAACATATGATTTCCTTTGTATTACTTACCTTTCTTTTTTAATTTTTAAGAGCTTTAAGACCACAAGTTGCCTAAAAGTAGCAGAAATTATGACAGGAATACAATAACAATTAATTGTTTCTTTGGTATCTAGATCGGGTACGGAATATTTGAGCATGTACCAATAATAATACCTATAAGCTACACTGCATGAGTATATGAAAACGTACGATGATTTTGCCATCGGATTTGGGGCATCTAATTTTGACACGACGTAACCGCTTGTAAATCAGCACCACCAATATTCATCAGATCAACCCGGTTGGTTCCGTAACTCATCGTAATACCGCTCAGGAGGGCGCCACGCGAAATCCGTCGTACGACTCAGCAACGCTACCCTACCACGGAAGGCTACCGTCTCTTAGTACCACTACCAGTGTTCGGAACCGTACGATAATTATCGTACACATACGATAATTTCATGTCTACGTACGATGTACGATATCATATTATTATCGTACGCAGATTGTACGATAATTTTCATGCATTCAAAATTTATTTTATTCTAACCCTCTCCGACAATATCACGAAGACTTTTTCTTATTCGCGAATATTTTTTTTCTTTTTGCTCACAGCGCTATAAACATTTTTGTTATACGCAGTGTTAAATTTAGAAGAACGTGCCTGCAGCAAAAGAACGTTATCATGCTAGTATATAGATTTTTCCTCGGCAGGTAACATCCCTTCGTGTTGGTCACCAGATGGGTCGATGGTCTTCCCATCCACAATTTTGTGATTGTAGTCATGTAGTCACTAACCATAGCCTAAGGTCAAAAACACCCCACTAACATACCTCCATCCCCTATATCTTGTTATATTTAAGTATTTTTCTATCTATTATTGATTTTTAATTTAAAGGGTGGGGGTAGTTCAGGTCTGTCTTTTTACACGATTAATACAAGTAATTTACTAATTATAGTGATTATTTTGAAAAGTACGATAATTTTGCTCCATGTACGATAATTCTACGCTACAGGTACGATAGTTTCCTCGCTTCAGGTTGTGAACACTGACCACTACCCTAGCAGTACCGCGCTGAGCTACCCCTACATAGGCGAGGGTGAATAAAAGGAGCTTCCAGCTCTCAGAATAAACGGGGAGAACTCTACCTCGAGCTCCTCTAGCAGCTTTCTCGTTGATGGAACACTAGAGCGGGAAAAATAGAGAAAGAACTCTCCTTCCAGGAGCTACAGCCACACTACAACGGCAGTGTTCGGAACCGTACGATAATTATCGTACACATACGATAATTTCATGTCTACGTAGGATGTACGATATCATATTATCGTACGCAGATTGTANAATTCGGATGCAATTCGATGCACCATCACCATCGATTCAATCGTCACCAACAAGTTCTACGTCACCCAGTTTGTTTTCTCTCTTCGCTCTTTCGTAATTGATTTCGTCTTCTTCCCTTCTGTAATTGCCTCCATGCTTTTGCATCTTTCCGGACTTGTACAATTGCCTGGCCTCGTCGTTGATGAATTCCGCGTCATTCGTTTGTCGTTGAATTCTTGAATTTAGAAGAGCAGCGTCGGACTCTTTAACGGCTTCTTCTTCTACTGCTTTTGCTTCTTTTTTAGAATCTGCTTGAGAGGGTTGCTCAACGGTTTGTTGAGGTGCTTGTGGTTGTTGTTGATCGACATATTGAGCTTGCTGTTGAGTCTCCTGTTCGACTTTTTCTCCCTCTTCGTCGTCATTTGCTCCAGCATGATTTAAGTCCCAATAGTGTTCACCATAACCGCCGTCTTTATCGCCCCACCTTATCTGCATTAAGTTGGAAAAAAAATATTTAAATAAATAAAATGATCGTATGGTCACAATTTTCGCTGTATGTTACATATTTTCCTAACCATTCGTGCGAAAACCATGAAGGTTTCATTGTACGATTTACTTAAAACTTCATTTCCTACTGTTCTTTGTATAAATTCATGATATAATCAATTTTGAAGTACTAATACTGTTTTTATTCGGGTCCAACGCCCTTAATTAAAGTGCTTTAACCTTTGAAGTCCCAATTACATCATAAAATCCAATTACTTCGAATTACTTTTACTAAAGGCTTTCGCGACCGGTAGATGAACTGTTCCAATTCGGGTGTTGGAGTTGCTTCCTAACGTTTCGCTACGAAGTGACGAGTTTCTTCATAGGTCCTTCATTTCCGATGTTGAATGTCCAGTCCAATCTGAAGAAGTTTTCCAACACACGACGGCTTTGAGACCTGAATCGGAACAGTTCACCTACTGGCCGCGAAAGTCTTTACCAATTTTAAAATAATCAGTAATTCGAAGTAATTGGATTTTATGATTTAACTGGGACTTCAAAAGTTAAAGCACTTTAACTCGGGACCTTGGACTGAGGCCTTGGAAATTTTTAGTTAGGTTAGGTTAGGTTAGGTTAGGTTAGGTTAGGTTAGGCTAAGTTAGGACTTTGCCCAGATGTCCAAGCCACCCTACTATAAGTAGATATAGAAAATATTTAAATGCAACGAAATTCTTGTTCTTTTTCTTTAAAATGCCATAATCCTAAGAATATTTTCAAAGAAATGGACAATTAAAAGTTTTTCATCATTTAAACGAGCAATTTTCTATCAATGAAAAGTAATCTGTACTGCCTAACAGCTTCATTCTTTTTTGGGAATATTAAATCATATTCAACTGGATGAGCATCTAATTTAACAGAATTTATGCCGTGTCAGTCGAAGTGATTGCACTGTATTTCCATTTTTTTCCTCGCGAAAAGGGGAAATTTAGATGATAAAAGCGCTATACAAAGGAGACAGAGGAAAAAGCAATTACTTAGTCCCGAAAATACCAGCACGAAGTATAGCTTTAAGAGCTCAATAAAAAAGATATCTTTGCATTCCTATTTCATAATAACATCGTCATAGATAAACAGAAAAAATTTGCGTTCTTTAAAGTTGTTTTACATTTTCAATAGGTAGTTTAAGTTTCTATGACAAAATCCAACGGACTGTCAATTTTTGTTATTATTAACTAGTTCTTCCCCCCTATCAACCACTGTAAGCTTGAAACTGTTAGCAACATTGCTTCAAGTGGTCGAAATTCTCTTTTGTGAACAGTACTATGACGTAGTGTCGGCCATCATTGTTTTTAATTGTTGCTGTTGTCGGCCATCATTATTTTCTAATTGTTGCTGTTGTCGGCCATCATTCTTTTTCAATTGTTGTGGCATTGTTACTGATGTCGGCCATTATGTTTTTTTAATAGATGTATAGTAATCAATGATTAAAATTTAAAGGAATTGTTTGTAAATAGGTATGCAACACATCGTACACTTCAGCATAAGAAATTGCTGATACTAACTACGTAACACTACTTTGTCCTCATAATTTCATTTATATATAATATTACATATTACCTTTCCCTGACGAACATTCTTGTTAAAATCAGCTTTCTCGAAACGTTGTTCCCACTCATCTGGTGTTTCTCTAACATGTCCAAATTCTAATTCGTGGGGTGAATTTTGGGCACTGTATATGTCCCTGTAGTAAAATAAACATCACTAATATTAATTTGTTGCAAAACGATGTTACAAACGATAATACAGAACATTATCGGGTACAAAACCCTACAAACTGTAGCGTTTATAAAACTACTTACTGAAAGTATTTGCTTCCTTTTTTGATACTGTCTGGCACCTGGGACTCCACAATCTTTTTTTCCTTACCGTCCTCAGGCTCAGCGTATCTCTTAATAATCACCGACCGTGAGTGGGTGATTGTAATCGCAAACACCCCGAACAGTAGCAACATAAACTGCAAAATGCAGAAAAAAAACTATCAACCTTAAGAAAATTAATTAAACGTTGAAATGATCGTCTTGCATATTTTAATAGAGCCAGAATGATTTGTCGATCAGGACTCAGGGGATGACCAAGTTAAAGTAAATAAAAGTCAGTCTAATGTTTTATTAGCCTCAGAAGGCAAATTTATTAAGAAACCAGGTTTTACCCTCGGCTTTGCTCGCGTTAATGCCTTAAATATGTATCAAAAATCATCGACGACCACATAAAACTAATTTTTATATTCCTCAGGAAAAGTATATTTTTTCTGGATAAAGGCACCCTATATTCTTTTCTGAACCCCAGACAATAAGTGTAAAAGATTTCATGATAGGTTTTACCCTCGGCTTGAATACGTATAAAGATCGTCGACTACCACATAAAACAAATTTTTAAGCCCTCGGCAACAGTAGATATTTTTTTCTGGATGTAAGATACCCAGTTTCCCTTTCTGCACCCCTCACAATATGTGTACAAAATTTTATGATAGGTTTCACCAGCGGTCTCGATCGCGTTGATGACCTAAGTATATGTCAAAGATCATCGACGATGATATGAAATTAATTTTTCTATCCCTGGCCAGCAGTATTTTTTTTTTCTGGATAAAAAGTGCCCAGTTTCCCTTTCTGTATCCCTGCAAAATTGCATGATGATCGGTTGAGTAGTTTAGGGTGAGAATTGGCAGCAATCAAACTTACATTCGCGTTTATAATATTAATTAAGATTAAATTAAGTTTTAAGATAAACGAAATGTAACAATAAAAATAAATTCTGAGTAAATTTCTGTTAGTAAATCAAATTCAAAATATAAATTTTATCAAAATAAAATGCTTCTCTGCTATATGACTATCAAACAACTCGTTGATAGTGTCATTCAATCGAATTCCAAAAAAAATCAGAAACGTATTATGATAAATTTCTCCAGTTAGCAATACCTCCAACCAATTCCGGTGAAAATTTATTTGCTGACGAAAGAGGGTTTAAAAGGGATTTGTATCTTCCATTAAATTTTCTTCAAGCAAAGTTGTGCACAAAGCTTATTGTAAATTTGAAAGCACCAGTCAAAGTCGGTTAAAATTTATTGAATACATTTAGGAAATAATATACTTCATTTACAAATCCCTTCCCTGATTTCAAATTTCATTTTCTTATATCATATTGTATATCTGACACTTGCCACTTATTTTAAATAAAATTAGATTTAATTGTTGATAATCCAAATTAAGTCATCATAGAATCATTAGGTAAAATGAGACATGAAGTACTGGATATGACGGACGATAAATACCGCAATTGAAAGACTTAAAAGTAACAAAAATATTTATAAGTTGTTAGGTACAATTGAAGTCCGGCAGAAGTTAAGTGAATAGGCACTAAAACCTCCAAAATTCCACAAAGCGTTTAGAAACCTAAAATTTACGGTCTGTAACTGAGGATGATGTCCGGGTGTGTAAACTTTTTATGACATTTTAATAGTTTACATAGTAGTATGATCCAATTTAATGAAAAACAAGACAATATTTCACACCGTTTCGATGGAAAAAGTTTCATAAAATCAATATTACAACGTATTTTCATCAGCACTTGCTTGTGTTTCTCAATCAACAGCGTATTGTACAAATGTAATTTGTATTCATTGATATATCCTTGCATATTTTGATGTTGATCATTATTACATGACCTTTTCTTCTACTTTTAATCTTCAAAAAATCTAGACCAATTTCGTTAAGACTNCCCCCTTTAAAAAAAAATTGTTGCGCCCCCTTAATTTTTCTAACAATCTAATTTCGTAAATACTCGACTGATATTCCAGCAAAAGTATGGATGGATGTTTTAGCATTTGTACCCGAAAAATTCGCGGCGAGGATTGTGGATTACGCATACCTATTTCGCTGATTAATTTTTTTGACAACTATTCGACTTTGGTTTGTATTCGAAAATGATATTTTGGAACAGCTGCATGCCCCCCTTGCAACAGTCTCGCGCCCTAGGGGGCGCGCCCCACAGGTTGAAAACCACTGCTTTACATAATACACGAAGAGATGGTTTTCAACAGTAATCTAGGATATAATGTCCTAAATTCCGTATAGAAATACAAAGAAAAGTTGTGAAGTTTCTAATGCTTGTTTTGCTATGTCTTAAAAGTAATCTTCTACTTCTAACTAAAAAACTAAAATATTAATTTACACGAAATTAAGAATACCACTATCAGTCGTTTCGTTTCATGTTATTTTGTTTGGATTTGTAGTGACTCTAGCGTATGTTTCGATAAAATTAGAAATCAATTTTGAGCGCTAATAAGTAATGCTAATTTTTCGAATAAATTTATCAAATAAGTTGGAAAATAAAGGAAAAGCGGAACAAATTTTCTGCGAAGTTAAATCTAATAAATTGCTTGCCGATATACAAGAGCCGAAAAATTATATCTCTCATAAATTATTTACGCACATAAAACACGAGTACTTTTATTCAGAAAGTAAATCTGAAGGAGAACGTCTTCATTACTTTATGTTGCAGAATAATCTACATCGAGTTAAAGTTACCCGGAAAACGGAATTTTTTTATCAGTTTGAAGAAGTATTAGAAAAAGTAAGAGAACAAAGAACACTATAGAGATCACCAATTGTAAGAAAAATGAGAAATACGATGATTGAACACCTTCTGAGGCATAAAAGGTTAGTTAGAGGCATATCAACAGCAAAAACAGGAGTTAAAAGGGGTAGAGGTAATAGTCCTTAAATTAAATTAATATTCGAAAATAACTAGAGGTTTAGCTTGGGTTAGTTTTTGGAGAAATGGGATGATTTAGTCATGATGGGTAGGAATGGATGTGCGTGACGAACCTGTCTTCAGACTGAAAACTTTATGAATATATCAGACGTGAATCGAAGTTTGGAACTTATCGTATTGGTTTCCATCAGTACGACAGAATACTGTCCAAACCGCTGCTAGTTAAAGAAAGAAAAGAATACATTCAGGCAATTTAAGTTACGTTTTATAACCCTTGAGTTTGTTCATTAATCAACGCGATGAATTTACGTACCACCTAACAGGTGGTTTTCAATAGATTTCAATATTCGTTGCTTATTAAATTTTTAAACACGTTACATGAAAGTTCAAAAGTCAAAAACAGTCAAATCATTTATTATTTTTGGTGGTTTTGACCGTGTTTTCTGTGGTTTTTGTCAGGATTTGGAAAACACTAAGAAAAAGGAGAGTTAGGTTGGTAGAAGACATGAAGGGTTATTAGTTAGACATATATGAGAACCAGAAATAGGAACAGCAAGGGCAGAAGAGAATCTAAATTAGGATGATCCAGAGTGGATGTGCGAGTTCAACTAGTCTTCGAACTTACGACTGTTGATTACTATGATGATAAAGAAAAATATAAAATTTACCAAAAAGAAGAGTTAGATACCTACCAATTTCAGTAGGCATCGGAAAATGGAATGTTTAGGAACCGTTGCTTTTTTTTTTAACTTTAGCCATTGTAATGTTCATTAATACTTCTAATTAGTAAATAATGAATGCAGTGATCAACCATTCAACGTCTAAAATGGAACTGCAATTTTTTTAGCCTTGTAATAGCTAACCTTGGAATAGATTCATTTATTTATTTTTAGTGTTAATAACGGTTGCTAAATTAAATAATTTACCAGGTAGGATAATAATCGTATAAGCATTTACAAGTCTTAAAAGTTCAACCCAAATTTGGATTTAGCAAAAGTAAAGCATGTACCCATGTAAAAAAAATACGACCAACAACTTGCGATAAATGAGTCTTCTCATACGTTTGTGTATCTATTAGATTTTCTTGATTAGGAATTGGTTGCAATGTCGTCAATGAAAAGATAAACTATTTTTTATTAGTATCAAATTTATGATCTTTTTACTACTGTAAATGAAATTTTGGCCGGTCTAGCTGCATTTACCAATCTTCATTCGCATCGTAAAACTACGACGATCTTGCAGGAATTAAACAATTTAAACCCTCTTCTTCCTTAAAATAAATTAGCTAATAGTCTAAAATGCATAAATATATGTTCTCTATATTTTCTTCTTCTGCGACCACATAAAACAATTTTTTCTATCCCTTGCGAACAGTATTTTTTTTCTGAATCAAAGGTACCTTATGTTCTTTGCTGTATCCCTGACAATGTGTATACAAATTTTCATAAGGATCCCTTGAGTATTTAAGGAGTGAAATGGTAACAAACAAATAAACAAACAAACTGACATTCCCATTTGTAATATTAGTTAAGATTTCAAAATTTCATACATTGTAGGGAATACTATTTGAAATTGTCAGTTATGAAGAACTCCAAAGAGTTATTTTCTTGATTTTAAGTCATATACACATATAATACTAAAAGTAATATATGCATATATATATATTCCCTTCTCCTTACAGGATTTATGAGTAACCAAGAAATATTGAAAAATGCTCTGAGGAGATTTATAATGAACACGCGAAATTGATGATTGATTGCCAGTGTTAGCAATAAAGTCACTAAAAATGATTAAATACTATTCTTATTGTGTTATTGTACAAAAACCAAAGGCAGACTGGAACTCTATCGAAAAAGTAACTAAACTTATTTCCTTAATTTCCGTTTCGGTATTCGCTTTTCCGTTTCGGGAATACTTACAATTAAACGCTGCATGCTTCACTTTCGCTTGTTGTGATATCTCGCAATAACTGTTTTCACTTCGAATTCACTATTCAAACTGCAGTTAATGGCCTGCACGATCGCTTTTATATGAAAAATAATTGAACTAGAAACAGCGACTTTTTAAACACCGTTCCACCTTTCTTCAGGCAAAATTCACCAGAGTTGCAGCAGAAACCACGTCCACAGAACGGCGATTTCCTCTGCTAATAGACGTTGACTTTTCGAAACTAACCGCTCAAGACATGCATGAACGAATTTTTAGAGCTCTTTCTTGTTATTTCCATACACCAAAACATTGTATTCTTTTGTTAAATATCATGTATAGTAAGAAATATTGCAATCTTTCTGTACATATCTAACGAAATTGTAATAATACAAACAATTTTTAGTAGTATTTGTACTGGTAAAAGTGTTTGTGGATCATATAAACAAGTATTACTGCAATAAGAACGTAAAAACTCAAATGTAGGTTTCTACGTATATACCACTTTTTAGCAAAAAACCACGCAGTAATCCGTATAAATTCGGTCTCATTATACAGGTAATAAAAACAGCATTGTATGAAAATAAATAAAATTAAAACAAAAATACTGCGAATATAAACATAGGAGATGAAAATTTAGAAGAAGTGACTGATTTTAGATATCGAGGAAGTCAGATAAGTCAGGACGGAAGGAGTAATTGGGATATAAAGCAGAAGATAGCTCAGGGTCGTGTCGCCTTTAATAAAAAGAAGTCACTTCTATGCTCGCGAACGGTTAATTTAGAAATTTGAAAGATTGTTAAAGGTGTACGTTTGGAACACGGCACTGTACGGGTGCGAAACATGAACGGTGAACGGGGCGGAAAAGAAAAGGTTAGAAGCGTTCGAAATGTGGTATTACCGGCGAATGATGAGTATACCGTGGATAGAGAAGGTAAGAAATGAAGAGGTGTTAAAAATAATAGGAGAACAAGGGACTCTAAGGAAGTCAATAAGAAATAGGCGAGATAGGTTGGTAGGACACCTTCTCAGGCATGAAGGGCTAGTCAGAAAGATATTAGAAGCAGAGACAAGAGTTAAGAGAAGTAGACCTAGATTAGATTTCTATTTATAAATAGTTAAAGAAGTGGAATGTTGTAGTTTTAGCCAGAAATGCGTGGCCATCCAGTCCTAGGACTGACGACCTCATATTGATGAGTTAAAAATAATTTCAATTGAAATAGTTCATCTTCTTCATAGGTCCTTTAGTCCTACGACTGGTTGGTGACACCACCACACATCAAAACCGTCCATCATCGAAAGCTTCTATCTTCTTTCTGTTTTATAAATCAAAACACGTTGAGGGCAAGCCTGTCTTAGGGTAATCTTCCACCAAACCAATTTTATATACCAATTACTAACTTAGATTTGTAAAATACTATTTTGACAAAGGAATGTGTTTTTATTAGGTATGATGTAATCGTCTATAGAAAATAAATTTTCAGTAAGACCAATGACCATCCATATCGGTCATTTCAAGAACCACTACTTTATAATTCAAGGCTTAGTTATAGTGCAAATTGGTATAATTTATTGTTCGGTTTCAAATATCTCCACAACAAATCAACACAAATCGAGCATGATAAAGTGTGGTCAGCTCTATTCCATGTAGAACAAGAATATTCCAGAATTAACTATTCCGTAATCTATGACATTAAGAAGTAGGCTATGTTGAAGCATTTACTTATTTTGTACAGTAGGTATCTACGTGTGTGTATATGCAGGTGTGTCAATATTTCTGCTGGCGCTACAAATCAAAATCAATGTGCGTACGTACACATAATATCTATCTAATACCTGTTTGTGTGTTTCACAACAACTTCTTGTGGCAAAAGAAAATATCTGTGTAGATATTTATCGGCATTTATCATTTCTGCAATAATTAACAATAAAAAAATTGTTTAGGTGTCCCAAAAATGTCTGTCAAAATACTCTGTTTGAACAGTTTCACCACTATTGCCAATCATCATCATAAGGTAGTCAGTTCTAACACTGGTTGGACACGCACACGCACTCTTTCCTATCCTGAGTTAATCTTCACATTTCCCTGACTATTTATGAACAGTAATCTAATGTAGGTCTACTTCTACTTCAATTAACTCTTGTTTATGCTTCTAACATGTCTCTGATTAAACCTTCATGCCTGAGAAGATGTTCTACCAACGTATCTCGCCTATTTCTTATTGACTTCCATAGCGCCCTCTGTTCTCCTACTTCTTCTAATGCCTCTTCATTTCTAACCTTCTCTATTCACGATATCCTCATTATTCGCCCGTAACACCACATTTCGAACGCTTCTAACCTTTTATTTTCCGCCATGCCCAGCGG